CTTAGCAATCCAGCCAGGCCCTCTTCCCAGGGTGCTGAGATGCAGAGATGCTGAGTTTAAACAGGCCAAAAAAAAAAAAAAAGAAAGGAACTCAGCAGGAGGAAGGAGAGGTGGATTTAGATTTAGTGGATGAGGAAGAAACAAGTTGCTTCCAGTGAAACTTGAAAGTGTAATAGAAGAAGGGAGGTGAGTTAAAAAACCCCAGAATATCCCACCTGTGTCACATGCCAGATATTTTATATATCATCCGTCCTCACATAGAGCATGGTTGCCATCACTATCTTCTCATTTTCCAGATGTGAGAACTGAGGTGACCATTTAAGTGATTCCCCCAAGATACCTTAGCTAGAGAATTATGAAGCTGGAACCCAGACCCATGACTGACTTAAATGCCTTCAAACTCAATGGCCCCAAAGCAACAGGGGTTCAAATGAGCTGATTCAGATGTTAGAGTGTTACAGGTTACACAGAAAAGTAAGAAGAAGAATATGGCAGTCCATAGCATCAGAAAGGATGGCAACAAATGCCCTTGGGGCAACTGAAGCCTTTACTGAGCCCCTGGCATATCCCCAGGACTGTATAAAGTTCTGTGAGTGAAGCAGAAGGCATGGTGCCTGCCCTCAAAGAGCTTAGGGTCTGTTTGAAGGAGAGGAGATTGTCAGCCCAGAAATGAGAGGTGCTGTAGAGTTCTGAATTGAGAGATGTATCCTTAACCAAGAAGGATGAGTTGAGTCAGCAGAGAAAAAAAGCATGAGCCAAATTGTGGAGGTGAAATTGATGGTGGTGAGTTATTCTGGGGTATATGAAGAGGCCCAGAAGAGAAGTTACATCTGTCTAGCTGGAGTTGATTCAAAAATTGCAGCTGGAAATTACTGCTGGCTGGCTTTTAAAACCCAAACCGAAGGGTCAAATGTCTCATGGAAATATCATGTCCAAAACCGGTAGATGGGACGGGAGATGGTCATAAAAGTAAAGGGAGGATTAGGGTAAAGTGAGGGTCGGTGACTAGATATTCAGTTTTCAAGACACCTGGAGTCAGAGCTGTTTCCTGCAGTGTCTTCTTGAGGTTACAGACTTCAGGAGGGTCTTGGGAAACAAAGGCCAACCACAACCTTGTAGTCTGAAGGCACACGGCGCCCCTAATGGGCCCACACTCTGCCTCAGCACCAGGCTTCTCCCCATCACAGCTCACCTCCCTGACTCCCATCCTGGAAAGGCCCACTTCCTACAGTGGTGCAGCTGCATTAACAGATAAACTGAGTCTTGCTAATAACACATAACTCTAGATTCCTCCCCACCCCCGCATTCAGCAACCGCTAAGATGCCTCCTTTGAGAAGCAGAACAGCCCTGTGGTTGAGAGCAGGGTCCTCGGGCGGTCAGGCTGGGATTTGAGTCTCTGCAGTGAAACCAGCTGGCTGTGGCACCTCAAGCAATTTACAAGACCTGCCAGAACTTCGGGTTTCCTCAACCACAGAATTAGGATGGAGGTAGTACCTACCTCCAGGGACATCGTGAAGGTCAGTTCAATAATGAACCCATACCACTTAGCACATAACCAGGCACATGATGAATGTGCAGGATAGAGGGCAGCTTGTTATCAGTAGTGTAAATTGTGATTCAATCTGAATTATTCTCTATGAACATTCTATGAATGTTTGCTCTCCCTGCAGACCTGGGCTCAAGCAGTTTCTGGAAGGCTCTTGTCTGAATCACTGTTTTTCTCTAAGCTGTTCCTAGCCCACTTCTTTCCTTGGGCTTCCACTGAGAGTCTACACATTGAGACATCTCTCCTGTAAGAATTTTGCTATGTCTTCCTTAGAACTTGCTTCCTTGTATTACAGTCACTTATGCTCACATTTTGTTCCTGTCTTACAAGGATAAGCTCCCTGCATCAATCAAAGGAGACGAGGCCATGCTGCAGCATCAGTGACCCCTAAGGTTTTCAACAGGAAAGGCTTTTGTCTTCCTGTGTCTTCATTTTGACTTTCATCACTGATGGGTTCAGCTAATGGCAGTCACTCGGGGGCCAGGTTAATGGCGCAGCTACCACCTCGCACTCTGCTTGTCACCAGGCATAAAGAGGGTCTCACATTAGCATGTAAGTGCTCCAACCTGGAAGTAACACACAGGACTTCTTGTCATAACTCATTAACAAATCCATCACATGTCCTGCCCCCAACACAAGGAGACAGCAGATGGAACCCACCCTACCACTTGCCCCTCTCCACCCCCAAGGTGAGGAGAACCAGATATTGGTGAGAACGACAGATGACAACCACACTCCTGGATTGCAAAGGCAATGGAGTCACTTTCCACCACACCCCATGTCACCCAGCAGTGTGCCTTGTACAGGAAGTGCACAGTAGAAATCGTTGAGTAATTAACTGAATGAATATGTATAGTTCACAATTATGTCCTTTCTCCCGGTAAAGATCAAAGCCTTAGGTCAGAAATCTCTTAATGACTGCTGGTAGAAATTTCAAGTATCCTAGGGGCAAGTCAGAGGGATGGTATTTGCATAGAGGACACAACTTTATGTCCTTCTTATTCACATCATGTGTTTTTAAACATAAAGTTGTAAGAATTATTATGACAATAAGTAACTAAGAAGGATTATTTGCCCTCAGGATTATTTGACTCATACACAAAATAGCATCTACACCTGATGTAGCTGGAAGATAATCTACAGCTACTTGCAGAAAATGCATGCAGCTGATTGACAAGGTGTCCATTGGAGGAACTGTGAAATAGATGGATTCCCGTGGGGTCAGTTATATGGGAAGGAGGTCATTCTTGACCTGATTCTTAAAGACAATGTGCAGTTTGGGAAGGCTCAGAGGAAGAAGAAGTCCTGGATCTTCTAAAGGTCACCTTGTTCATATTTTAAAGAAACTATGAACCTGAAATGAGACCTTATTTTGTCACAGATGGAAAACAAATTCGCTCTTTTAGATCTTGACAAGAGCTGTTGAGAGCTTCTTCCATTCCTTCCTGTTAGCTGGGGCCATTCTGACCAGGTCTGTTCCATGCCCCAAGGCTGAAAGTACCAAGGGTGGACAATTTTGTATATTGAGATATGGAATCTGTGAGCCTTCATTTCCATCATTTCTCCTTATATTCCCCAAGAGAACATGAAGAAAAAAAAAAAAAGAATTCCACCCATGTTTCTCATTCCAAATGCTAGTTAGAAGGAAGAGCATCCTGGCATTTGCATGGAGAAGGGATGAAAATCATAAACTCCTCCATTGTGATCTATGAATGTGAAGGGCTTAAAGTTCAATGCTGCACATGAATATGTATTTGTGTATGATGTGACTATAGAGCCAAGGGATCCTTCTATATCCTTATACATCCAAATGTGGGTTGGATCCTTCAAAGGAGGCACACTGATGTGCTAGAAGCATCTAATAAAGATTTTAAAATATCAAATAAATAATTAAGGGAAGACAGAAGTAAAATATTCATATATATGAAAATGTGCGTATAAATAGATACAGCAATCCGGCACGGATGAGAGTAAGAGGTAACCCTTTGAGAGGTAAAACCTTTTGATTTCAAATCATTTTGGTGGAGATCTTTCTAAAATACCTGACACAAATGTGAGCCCTGGTCTGTAGAGGAAACTGAGCATCCTGAAGCTAAATGTTGGTGATGAGGGTCGACTTCTGGATCAGTCATTGGCTGGCTGGAGAAGCTTGTAGCTTGAGTCACAGACTCCAAGGCAAGACCGCAGCTTGTTTCCTTGACTTAATTGATATACAGGTTTGATCCTTTATAATTTTTTTGTTCTCATAAATCTGGACTACAGACGCCATCTTCATCATTTCTTGTACCATGGAGTATAGTTCTGTTTCCCCAGAATTAATGGTCAACCCAGTGGCCACACTACGCTTTTCCAAAAGGATAGTCTTGTTCTTCATCAAATTATACTATTGCTCATCTTCGAGGACTGACCATTTCTGCAATATAAAAAGCATTGTTCGTGTAGTTGCTCTCAGCGTCCCAAACAACACCAACTAGAGTTCTATCTTCCTTGGATTAAGTTAACAGTACACATTGCAAAATAGTGACCTCTTAGGGTTTTGCTATGAAAGGTTTCTCAAACTTCTGTTGTTGAACTACATAACTAAAAGGTGCTTTACATTTGAGGCTATTTGCTTACAGGTGCCCAAGGGCAAGATAGGCCTTTGGCAAGACAAAAAAGTTGACCAGGTTTGGCATGCTTTGCCCAATGGTTCTCTCCTCTGTCTTCTTTTTTCAGGAGCCTCACCCCCATTTCAAAAGATCTCTGAATGAGATTCCACATTTACTTCAAAGAGTAAAAATGATGACCCTGCTAAATATCTTAGCATTTTTACAGATACCCAAACATTAAACTAAAAGATTATTGAAGCATACAAAAGCCCCGTTGGCACTGGAGAGAGAACTTGAGAGGAGATATGGCCTTGCCTTAGGCCCCGGAGCTGTAGAATACATGTAGTCCTTTGCGCCTCATATACACCAGGCTATAGCCTGGACAAGTGTGACCTGTGTGCTGGGAGAAACCCAGATGCAGGGCAGGTACTGACATGACTGGTGGTGCTGAAGAGTGACCTCCACCTGCCCAGCTTCCCCTGTTCCCAGCTGTCTCTGAGAATGGGACAATTAGGGTGGATTAAGGGATCTTTGCCCTCGCCTAAGCTTCATGGCAGGAATTGTGTTCCATTGTCTGCCTCACATCAGCCAACTTTTTTTCATCATTAAACAAGTGTTCCTTGAGCACCTACTAAGTGCTTTGTTCTGTTCTAGGAGTGAACAAAGAGGAGTTTACATTTTACTGTCTGAGAGAGATCACTGTGAAAGAAGCACAGATAAAATAAGGTCAATAAAGAATGTCTAGGAAGGAGGATAGGAGGTGATCTCGAGTGGAGGGGTGTGAATTCAGCTGGGGCAGTCAGGTCTGAAAGGCCAAATGGAAGTGATAACATTTCTGCCTGTCATGAGTGGCCACTCAGCTCATTTAATGCTCACAATACCCAATCAGACCAGCAATACTACTGTGCCTATTTTACAGATGAGGAAAGCAACATTCAGGAAGGTCCAATACATGGTCCCAGGTCACCCAAAAAGGAGTGATAGCAGGATCCAAATCCCTGAATCCTACCCAGCTGCATCACCTCGTGGAAATGGGCCAAGTGACCAACAGCCAAGCCAAGGCTGTTTGACCCCATGGAGACCCTCAGGTCATGCTCTCACCAACAACTCCCCACCCCTGTCCAATGCACACTTGCATTTCACCTATATTAGCTGGTTTTCTTCTTCTGATCTAAGGGTTTAATTTTGTTGGAGCTGTATGAATTCTTGTTGCTAAATGTTTAGATGGAAGAGAATTGAAAAAACACAGTCAACTGGCTCAGGTAATACTGGAACCAGTGCAAATCTCAGAGCACAGCATGGTAGTCAGTGTTCATACTGCTAGTGTGGAATTCACCACGAAATGTTAGGATACATTCAATAGCTCTGTGTAAGATGGGCCACCACCACCACCGCAACAAGATGGACTGGAGTAGAGCAATGTATTTTAAAAAGATTTTCCACCAAAGTAATATGTGTACACAGTATTTGTTTTAGCTGACATATACTATGCTTACATAAAGAATTCACTTATACCTAAGTGTTGAATTAAGGTATCATTTTGTGTAGCTATACACTTTATATCTGAACTTTTGAACATGTGTACATATGCTGCTGCTAAGTCGCTTCAGTCGTGTCTGACTCTGTGGGACCCCATAGATGGCAGCCCACCAGTTTCCCCTGTCCCTGGGATTCTCCAGGGAAGAACACTGGAGTGGGTTACTATTTCCTTCTCCAATGTGTGAAAGTGAAAAGTGAAAGTGAAGTCGCTCAGTCGTGTCCGACTCTTAGCGACCCCATGGACCACAGCTTACCGGGCTCCTCCATCCATGGGATTTTCCAGGCAAGAGTACTGGAGTGGGGTGCCATTGCCTTCTCCGATATGTACACCTATCTATATGCAAATATGTTTGCATACGGCTTTTCTATTTCACTTTGAAAGAAAGATACACAGATAATTAAAAAGTCCAACCTTTGCTTAAATTGTTGGGATTAAACTTTTCTTTTTTTTTTTTTCCTCTAAGGCATTTTATTTGTACGTATTACATCCATAGAAAAAGAATCCAAGGATTTTCCCTCCTGTATGTCTTCGTCTTGCTTCTTCATGGTCCATGATGCCAGCTGAGGTTTTCAGTACAATGAAACCAAACTGACGGGATGGGAGCAGGTTATTCTGCCATTTTTCTAAATCTTTGAGTTGCACATCAAATCTGGGGCTGATCACTCCACACTTATTTAGCCTGCCTGTGAGGTTCACAACAATTTTCCCAGCCCTGTGATCATCAATGATTTCAAATTCGCCAATGTAACCATGCTTCATCATCACTGTTAGAAACCTGACGATGACCTTGGAGCACGGCCGAATAAGCACCTGGCGTTTGCCTCTCTTTTCGGCGTTGTTGATACTCTTGAGAGCATCAGCCAGGACATTCATGCGCACCATTCTTGCGGCATGGAAAGATGGCGGAAAGAGGATTAAACTTTTCTTAAGAGCACATTTGCTTTCTAATAATATGAATCAACTTATTTTCTTTGTTCAAGGAAGCAGTAAATTCTTAGTAAATGAAGAAAGAATATGAAAGATTTTTTCCTTTATAAGTTCCCCTAGCATTCTTTCTACAAAATCACTTGACTAGAAGATTTCTCCTCTCTTAACATCTATTGTTTACCAACAGTTTTGTATGTTGATACATTTTTAGGGCTATTTTGTATGCATATTATCTCAATCTATATTTCAAATAATTGAAAAGTATCCAGGAAGACCTGGACTTCTAAATATGCCTTGCCCTTTTCTGCCAACCTATGCCTGAAATTTCGCTGGTAGTTGATTTGCTCCTTTGATTGAAGCCTTATCCTCTGCAGCACAAATTTCTAAAATATATGCATTCTTGGGAGAGGTGGCATATCAGTTTCTTTAACAGGAAAGCATGCACCAAATCATTTTTCTCTACAGAAAAGTTTGTGATGATAGATTGTCCCTCTGCACCATGGAAACCCAAGGTCTGGAACAAAAAAGCTTTTAAAAGTTTTAAAGTTTTGCTAGCCCAGTTCAGTTCAGTTCAGCCTCTCAGTCATGTCTGACTCTTTGCAACCCCAAGGACTGCAGCATGCCAGGCCTCCCTGTCCATCGCCAACTCCTAGAGCTTACACAAACTCATGTCCATTGAGTCGGTGATGCCATCCAACCATCTCATCCTTTGTCGTCCCCTTCTTCTCCTGCCTTCTGTCTTTCCCAGCGTCAGGATCTTTTCAAATGGGTCAGCTCTTCGCATCAGGTGGCCAAAGTATTGGAGTTTCAGCTTCAGCATCAGTCCTTCCAAAGAATATTCAGGACTGATTTCCTTTAGGATGGACTGGTTGGATCTCCTTGCAGTCCAAGGGACTCTCAAGAGTCTTCTCCAACACCACAATTCAAAGGCATCAGTTCTTCGGTGCTCAGTTTTCTTTACAGTCCAACTTTCACATCCATACATGACCACTGGAAAAACCATAGCTTTGACTAGATGGATCCTTGTTGGCAAAGTAATGTCTCTGCTTTTTAATATGCTGTCTAGGCATAACTTTTCTTCCAAGGAGCAAGCATCTTTTAATTTCATGGCTGCCCGAAGAGAGTAGAAGAGAGCTGGACACTCTTGAGAGTAACATAAGTCCTAAGAGTGGACCCTGTTAGTCCCTTCTGACTTGACCCCCTCCACGTTGTCTGAAAGAACAGCCAGATTGCTTTCCTCCCCACCTCTTCTTGCATGGTAGATGCACAATTCTCATCTTTTTTTTTTTGTTTTTTTACCAGTCATCCTCATCAGAGGAGCAGCCAACATCACTGAATTCTTACGATGGGCCACACATTTTACAAGCATAATGATCTTATTGAATCCTCCCTAAAGCTCTTTGTGGTATTATCAACCTTGTTTTACAGAAAAACAAGTCGAGACCAAAGTTCTCCCTATTAGTAAGTGATGGAATGGGATTCAGACCCACATCTACAAGGCTCCAGGCTCTCAGCCTTTTCTCATTCTCTCTCACAGATGGTCTTAATTCAATCACGTTTGCCTGCTTAGAGCAATTCAGGATTTTATCATTTTCCTCCTTAAAGAAACCAGAAACATGCTAAATAATGTGCTGTGCTTTGTTGCAATGACACGTTTTTTGTACCAAGTGTTACATGGGGTCAGTAAGCCGTGGACTGAAAATTCTTGGGCTTACTTCCTCCCACTGTTCTGTGTGGAGTCACTTTGCAGTGTCATCTGTTCGCTACTCTGGGTATCTCTATTCCTCTTAATTGATTTTATCTAACCTATTAGTGTGCCAGAGAACAACAACAAAAAAAATCATGCTCCTTAAAACTGTGTGCAAATCAAAAGTAAAGAGACAGTGAATTAGGTCCTTAGGCTTCATTACAAATAAAATATATATAAGATTTGTAGCATCTTTTGCAACTCAGTGTTTTGGGTTATTTTAAATTTAGGATCATAGACTGTCAAAGTAGAAATTACTTTTAGGTGTTTATCTATTTTTTTGACAATGGCCATCCTCACAGGTGTAAAGTGATATCTCATTGTGGTTTTGATACATGTTTCGTGAATAATTGGTGATGTTGAGCATCTTTTCACACACTTGGTGGCTACTGTATATCCATTTTGGGTAAATATCTGCTCAAATCCTTTACCCATTTTTTTAACTATATTTTTTGATATTTTGTTCTTGGGTTGACATTTGTTACATGTTTTGTATATTAACTCCTTGTCAGATATATAGTTTGCAAATAGTTACCCCATGTCATAGATTGCCTTTTTGCTCTATTGATTGTTTGCTTTGCTGAAGCTGGAACCATCATGAACTGTTGATGGGAAAGTAAAATGGTACCACCATTGGAAGACCAGTATAGAGTTTTCCTAAAAATACCAGAAAAGAGCTGTTATACAATCCAGCAGCCCCATTTCTAAATATTTACTCAGGGGAATTAAAATCAGGATCTCAATGAGTTAGTTGCACTCCCATGTTCATTGCAACATTATTCACAATAGTCAAGGGATCTCAACAACCTAAGTGTCCATCACTTAGGATGACTGGATAAAGAAAATGTGGTCTAGCATGCAATGGAATATTATCCATCCTTAAAAAGGAAAGAAATTCTGACATGCCACAATGTGGATGAACCTTTGGGACATTATGGTAAGTGGAATAAAGCCAGTCACAGAAGGACAAAAACTGTATAAAAACTTGCATTAATAGAAGGTATTTAGTCAAACCCTTGGAAGAAAAGTAGAATGGTGGTTACCAGGGCTAGGAGGAGGGGAAAAACAGAGGAATGCACTTCAATGAGCATAGAATTTCAGTCATGCACAATGACAAGTTCTGGCCCCCTGCTGTCCACATGAGCATATCATTAACAACACCGTTATGGACACTTAAAAGGTAGATTTCATGTTATATGTTTTTCACCACAGTTAAAAAGAAAGGGAAGGAAAGAGATTATCTAATCCAGCTTCTCTTACAGATGAAAAGGATGAAGTTTGGAAAGAGTAAGTAGCTCTCTCAAATCACAAAGCTAGCTAAGGAACCGCAAAACATGAACCCACACAGTCAGAGATCCTTCCTCTGTATGCCAGGACTTCCACCTCCCTTCACCCTCCTCACCATGCAGGGCCCCCAAGGAGAAGCCCAAGAGCTTACAGTCATCACATCTGGAGTTGGAAAAGGCATGTAGCCACAGTCATTAAATCTAACCCACTGCCTGACAGAAGAATGTCACCTAAAACATCTCTAATGCCTAACCCACCAACTTCTCCACAAATAGAAAGATGAGCTGCTTGGCATTGGGAAGACACTTATTCCACTCTTGAAATGTGATAATTTTTAGGAAAATCATTTCATATATGAAATTGTAATCTGACTTTAATCTTCCATTTCTGTTCTTACATTACGGATTAGCAAGAAAGAAATTACTCTTTTCTTTTGATATGTTAGCTTCTCAAATATTTGGAGACAATTGTTTTCTGTTTCTATATGTCTTCTCCCCAAGTTGGGCTGTGTTGCTCAACCAACAGGTAAAGTGTGATGTTGTTTCCAGATCTCCTCTCATTGTAACCATTCTGGTCACCCTCTTCCACATAAATGCTACTTTGTTGCTCAAACGCTTCTTCAGGTAATACTTCCAGTACTAAACATATTGTTATAAATGTGATCAAACCAATGCAACGTCTCCATCTTGTCTGGATCCTGCTTCCTTAACTGTAGTGCCTAAGGGAACATTCGATGTTTGGCAAGTGCATCCCGCAGCTGAAGCATGAAGCATTTCTGGCCAAATAAACCATTCTTAATCTTTTTTCATTTAACTTCTGGCAACTCAGTTCATCTACATCCCATTTGTGCATTTTTTAAACCTTAGCTCAGATCTTTATATTTATCCTTATTAAAATGTATGTTATTTGTCCTGCATTTATTTCATATATAGAATCCTTTTTGTCATCCAGTAACTGGCCTTCCCAGGTCCATGTGATTTTATAGTCCTTCTTTTTGTGACTTCATACAAGTCATTGATAAATAAAACCGCTAACCATTTCAAGGGTGGAGCTCTATGGAACTCTACTAGAGACTTTCTTTCTATCTTTATATTAATCTATTAACCAATACCCTTGAGGTTATTTATTCATATTCATCCAACTATACTATCATCAGTGTTACTCTCCCAGCTTGTTCACACACACTCACAAAATGTCAGAGTTCCTTCTGCTTTCTTATGCTTTCTGTTATTTTGAGCTCTACATTTCTTCATTTACCCATTTAGCTAGTATATGTAGGGACAGTGGAGTGTGAAGGTTCACAGCCTTGGAGATGACCCGCTTAACTCTAGTCTCCATTGCTTACCAGCTGTGGGACCTTAAGCAAATTAATAAATTCCTCTAAGTCACAATTTTCACATCTAAATTAGAGATAACAATGGGACTCATCTCTTCAAAAAGACGTTTAAATAAGTGAATACATTAATGTATGTAAAAAACATTAGTTTCAGTACCTGGCCCATGGTAGGCTCACAAGAATTAGCAATAATAATGATTATGTTGACATTGATACAAATAAATCACCTAACTACCAGTTTACATTACTTTTGACATAAATATTAGCAGGGGGTTTAGGAAGTAACATTTACTGAGGGCCTATGTATAATGCCAGGAGTTTACATATATTATATAATCTGACTTAATTTTCATATGGAAAAAGAAGTGAATATTCTATGCATATAATTTGTTCTCTATATAGGCAAACTGAGGTTCATAGAGATTAAATAAACAAGACAAGGCCCCTGTAAATTTAAGATAAAGTGTAAGTCACTCAGTTGTGTCCGATTCTTTGCAACCCCATGGACTGTAGCCCGCCAGGTATGCTGTCCATGGGATTCTCCAGGCAAGAACACTAGAATGGGTTGCCGTTTCCTTCTCCAGG